TAAAAAAATAAAAACTCATACTGTTGTAAATGTTCTTTAAACTTATCAAATAAAACACAAATTGTTTTCTTTCCAATTTTTTTTCCTCGATCGCTTAGTACAAATAATTCCGGTTTAAATCTTTTTCTTTTATTGCTACCTGATTGATCCGGTTGCTGAACCCCAATAACCCATAATTGGCGCAAAAAAAGCATGACCAAACGAAGAAATTGCCGATACATAGCCAAAAAATGTTGCGGTTGATAACGAATCTAACTAAACAAGAACAAAAAAAAAAAAGAATAAAAGAGAAATAAAAAAAAGGCTGAATTTTATGATATGTTGGTATCACTGAAAGCCAAAATTCCTTAAATGTAATAGGTGAAGAAAGAGATGAAAAGTAAGAAGAAGCTTTTGAAGAAGAAACGGTAGGTGAAATGTAAAAGGTTAAAGAAAGTTTGACAATTTGCTGTCTTGATTTATAAACTTTCAGTGTTTGTGACGTGTTTTTACCAAATCGTTTATGAGTTATCCACAATTAACTTTCAAACATCCATTAAGGATAGCCCAAAAAAAAAAAACTATTTTGCTCTTTCATCCCAGCTCTCAATCGTCAACCAAATACGTCATAAATTATGTTTAGGATAGCAGTGTTACAGTGACGTGTACAACAGCAATATACCTACCAACATTACGTCAAAATCTGACCATTTGGCAGAAAAAAAATAAGAAGGTTTGAAGAACTTTTTTTTTTTTTTGATATTGGATAAAGGTCGTTGATCACTTCTTACCTTTTATCTTTTCTCTATTCCTCTATGGTTCTTTTCTTTTTTTTTTTTTGTTATGTACCTAATCAAATTGTTGAATAAAGTTCACTTACTTTTTGCATATACGGCCATTCAGACATACCAATCACTGTCATTTGAATAACACTCAAAAATAAAATGACGGCTGTCATTCGTACCGCTCCCCAGTTAGTCTTTTCTAAAAAAAAAGAAAATCAGTCACAAACCGATATTAAGCTGTACAACAGATTTTTTTCTCCAATTTCTTTTTAATTCTTAGAAGAGGGAAAACATCAACAACGGCGACTGTTATAGCAGCAATAACACAGTTGCAAAAAGGAGCGAGTAAACAGCAACAGCAGGAAAGTGGGTAAGCCAAGAACAAACAGAACAATACAAAAAACTTTT